AAATAAAAATACAGTTTACAGTACCTACAGTTTAAGAATATTAATATATTTATTTATTTAAAGTAACTAATGTTTTAATCATATACTCTACGACACTGGTCACTCATTTCCACTCAAAATACCTACATAATCGGATTAAAAGTTTTATAGCTGTATTGTATTTCTTCAGATACAAGGTGGGTTAGTCGAAAACATCTTAAACTGCCAGTTTTAGTTTGGTTTTTGTTATTATATCATATTAGCTGTCCTCTCTGTATTTCAGTTCTCTAATAAGGGTCAAACTTGCAGTGAGCTATCAACAAATTATGAACGGACTATAGTTAGGGTTCTTTCGGCCTATAAGTTTTTTCTCCGTCACAGAAAATTTGCATGGTAATGAATTCATATTGCAATAAAATGCATACAAACAGATATATTACAATTTTTTTGTAAATAATAATCATGTGTTTCAGATATGTGGTTCAGTGCAATGTTCAGTTGTTTCATTATTGCAAGTTACATGATGAAAATGGAAAAATATACATATACATATCGAGTGGTCCAACGAAAAGTATGCACCTTGCTTTTCTCCTTTTTTTGTAACTTAACGCAAAAATGCTCGGACAGGTCAATTTTGCTTTTGAGGGGGACACATTTAAGATGTATTTTTCTACCTGTGCCTTCAACCCCCTAGCGAGGGTGAGTAACAACCCTAAAATTTTAAATGGAAAGTGGGGTCGAGTGATATATCATTTGAAAAGGCACAAAATTCTCTTTCCAATGATACCTAATTTGTTGTATTTACTTGAATAGTTATAAAAAAAGCAAGAACATTTACTCGATATTTTTGGTGTTGATGAAAATGCGGAAAAAACGGCATTTTTATCACTACTACATTCCTCAATTTCTCTCGTGCGTTTTTTGGTTCAAATAACAACAGCAAATAAGTGTACAAAACGAATTTAGGCAAAATAATTTTTGCATACAGAGAGCCATTTTGCGATCATTGTTATTTGTTTTCTAGATGGAGTCACATAATTTCGTAACAATGTTTGAAATTGATGCCGCTTACCCTAGAAAATCAATTTCAAAGTTTTTAAAATTGCTTCTCAAGAAGGATGATTGTGTTACAAAAAAAAGTATAACTTCAAATAATAATATTACAATAATTTAGCAGAAGCAGATATCACCCGAAGACGATTGTGGAGACTAACAACTGCAACGTCGTGGCTTGGAATCTTTCGATTTTTAATTTTCATTTCTTGTTAATAATTTTTAATTTTCATCTCCCGTGATAAATCAATAATGAATTCATTTTCACCATTAATATGGAAGTGTCCAATCTCCATATAGTCTTTTTCAACTAAAATTACTTTTTTAATCCTTATCTGCCAGTCTTCTTCGGTAATATTAGATGCTTTGTTTCAATTTTCCCCAAATCAACTCGATGGGGAAACTCTCAAGTGCATACACTTTTTTAAATGTTTTTGCCTGTGAAACTTCAAGTGGTTGGTTTTTTGTTATAGTTATCTTCATAATAAAAAATGGGTATCCATTATGAAACTTTGTATTTCATCTTACCTCGTACTTTGATGAGCTGTCGCGAATGATAGGAAGCGTTGTCAAGAACTATTACACTATTCGCATCCAAATATGGGATCAATGTGTTTTCAAATCATTCCTCAAAAATATTAGCTTCCATGTTCTCATGAATGTCAACATTGCAGTCCTCAAGTTTTTTTCCGCATAATTTCAAAAAATTCGGAACCCATCCTTTACTTTCTCCGCAATGCACAATGATCAGTCGCAATCCTTTGTTTGCAGGTATGTTAGGCGTATACATTTTCGAACCATCAGTCCACCCTTTCGTAACTCTTCAGCCAGTCATAAAACTCGGTTAATAAATTCTTCAGTCCACGTGGACTACTTGGCAACGGATTTATTTCTTTGTATTGGTTTCTTTGGCCTTTGAGGGGACCGACACTTTAAGTATGCCCAGCACCTACCAGTTACTTCGACTATACCTAATTTTTAACTAATGTTACTGTATATTTATTTTCTTATATGCATGTATCTCTCATCGATACAGTCTTCAGACTTATTTTATTCCACTTATAAGTTGTTCATGTATCTCCATAAAAATCATAGTAGCAAAAAATTGGAAAGTCCAACAAGGGACCTTTCAGAATATTTGATCTTTGTTAGACTTTCACAGTTAGCATAGTTGCGAAGGTATACAGTGTCACACATAAAGTCCGCATCAAATGGGATTTTTTTGTTTATCTCTTCAAGCAACTTTTGATATCTCCATTAGGTTGTGCTTTAAAAATGATGCCAAATGACATGCATATGACCGATCAAGTGATTTTTCTTCCCTGTCCAATTTGAAATTTTTTCTAAAAAATGTTCAGAAAGGCAGTTATTGCTCGAAATTTCGAAAATCGGTAAAGAGAAAAGATGATTGTTTTTTCATTTTTTACCCATATACCAATTTTTAGGTCTCTAGTACAAATTTAGTTTTTTTACAGTTTTTCGAAAAATTTACATTTGCCGATTTCTCAAATTTAGCCAAACCTCAACAAAGTTAGTGCTTTATGCCTAACTTATCTTTCCAACGCATTTTTATTACCAATTGCAATTCTAAATACAACTTATTTCGCAAAAATTTAAAACACTAGAAAAAATTATGCCAAAAATGATGCAAAGTTGATACAGTTTTTAAAAACAGATAAATATTTCACTTTATTTCTACTTTTTGCGAAATAGCTTGATACATACGCATAATTAAAAAACAATATCAATGAAAAGTCAATAATTTATTCTTTCAAACAGTTAAACTTTGATTTACTAAATACGAAAAATTACAACGAAATTAAACTAAGGGTACTGTGGAAACAATTGAACTGAACTCAATAAGCAACATATTTTATTGTCATATGACATTTGTTGAATAACTCAAAATAGTGTTTATCAGAATATGCGGCGAGAATACCGGTCACCGACAAGTAGCTGATATTTTCAATGCCAGACATCCTGCAAGAAATATTCATCAGTCAACAGTTAGTAGGTAATGCGTTGGAAAGATAAGTTAGGCATAAAGCACTACCTTTGTTGAGGTTTGGCTAAATTTGAGAAATCGGCAAATGTCAAATTTTCGAAAAACTTTAAAAAAACTAAATTCGTACTAGAGACCTAAAAATTGGTATATGGGTAAAAAATGAAAAAACAATCATCTTTTCTCGTTACCGATTTTCGAAATTTCGGGCAATAACTGCTTTTCTGAACATTTTTTGGAAAAAATGTCAAGTTGGACAGGAAAGAAAAATCACTTGATCGGTCATATGCATGTCATTTGGCATCATTTTTAAAGCACAACCTGATGGAGATATCAAAAGTTGCTTGAAGAGATGAACAAAAAAAAATCCCGTTTGATGCGGACTTTATGTGTGACACTGTATATCGCCATTTCAGTTAGGTATATTCATTATATCCAACATGTATTTATTCAATGAACATTTTTTAATAGTACCTAGTGATATGATAAAAATAAAATGAATCAACAAAAACCATGAATGTGCCGTATTTGTCTCAAAAATATTGTCTTTTTCAGACCACATACAAACAGTGCTTCAGGAAAGGACACCGTTTACCCGGAGGTAGGTGTTACTCTACATTATCTGCTCGTTCATCCCATGTAAACAGTCATAGCAACACCGATTCTTACAGCCAAGGCTGCAGCTCGCGTAGATACCTCGAAGATCAAATGGCGCGTCTACCAGACTCTAAACGGCCACTGGTTGTTTCCTTCAGAAGGAAAAAATTGCAGAGTCCACCACCTAGCACGAAATCAAGCTTCAAACAAGTTATAATCCTGGATACTGATCTTCAGGAGGCACTAGAAAATCTTCATAGAGGCGTTAGGAGCAGTTGCGCTGAAGATGTCCCCGTTATGAGTTCTCTTGCTGAGGAGAGAATGAAAATGAGTTGTAGTTTTATCGAAGTTCATAGTTTACAGCCTACCCATATCTGTCCACTAGGTGAAAATGCCCATGTAGCTAAAGATTCGCTGAAATAGCATAAACGCAGAGTTTCAGAACAAAAACTCAAATTATTTTATAATAGTCGAGTTTCACAAATATCAATTATCTGCTTGTAAATGTATAATCATTATTCTAATCATATTTTTGTGCAATCAGTTATTTACCTTTGAAAACATATGAAATGTTATTAAATTAATTTCATTAAATAAAACTTTGAGATTTGGTTCACATATTATTAGACACATTTGGAATAATGTTTACGAATATTTCTAATTGTATTCCATATTGTCTTGCTGCCGAAAAGAAATCAGCTGATTTTGGTTAATTCATCTGTGCTGATTCTAAAAATACAAACCTTTTCTATGTATCAGGTCTAGTTTTCGAGATATAACATACGCATCAAATACTTAAATATTCCTACATTTCTGTATATTCCATCGCTATAATTGCAATATGTTTATAAACAAACAAATTCTAAGACAAATGCATACTAATGACTTCTAATTAAAGTGTACTTATTGGAAATGCCCATAACATGAAATTAGCGCTAATTGCTTCTTACCTATTATCCGATAAGTAAATAGTATTTTCCTGAAATGGCCTTTCTGAATGCCTATAAAGTCGACTGCATTCCATTGTAAAATTTAGTCTGAACTTGAGTTTCGTTGCAAGAGTTTGTTTTTGACAACTGAAAACCATGGCTTCTACAAGCAGGCGTTGTTGTATGAGTAAGGCCATATCAAGCCTATTTTGCTGTTCATTTAGGAGATCAAAAAAATCCTGGGCTCCACATGTGGTGTGCAAAACTTGTCTTGAAAACTTGCGACAGTGGACGAAAGAACGAAAGGACGAAAGGATAACGACAATTACATCAGTTCGGACTTCTATTATCTAATATAACATAAATTGATTTGAAATCTCTGGAAAAAATAAAAGATTAACCGAAAATAACCATTTTATTAAAACAAAAAACTGAAATTTCAAGGTAATAACATACAAGCTACAACCAGAAAATAAACCTGTGGTATGGGACTTCACTTGCGTCGACACGGTCGCGGCTGCCCATCTAGCCGAAAGTTCCAAGTCTGCTGGAACTGCAGCATTGTCTGGCGAGAAATTGAAAAGGAAAAAATACCAAAATCTTAGAAACAATCTATCTGTTTCATCCAGTAGCGGTTGAAACTTTTGGTGTTTATGGCCCAGAATCTCTGTTATTCGTTCATGAACTCGGAAGGAGAATAGGCCAAGCAACGTGGAGCCTCTGGAGACACCCTACATTTTGTTTTATAAGAGAGAGGATATTGTTGGATCAAGATCTTCAGATGATGTGGTGCTGCAGATTTTTCCGGGTGTTCCTGCAGCTGAAAAAGCAAATGCGCCACTGGAATTAATGAAGTCGCCCCGGAGCGCCAATTAATTTTTATTGTTGTTTTTATTTTATTTTTATCGTTGTTTTAATAAAAGCTGAAAATTAAAAAATATTATTAACAAAAATGAAAAATAAAAATTAAAAGACTCCAAACCGAGTTACGTCACGACGTTTCGATTGAGGGTATCCACAATCGTCTTCGGGTGATAACTGGACTTATTCCTCCGAGATCTGACTATTTATAGGTCATTCGGATGCTTTCACCTTTCACCTATCCCCTCTTTCCCCTTTCCGCTTCATTGGTGTTAGCGGGAGATGACCGTTTGGCGGGAGTTGGTCGTTTTTCGCTTGATTAGAGGTTTCCATATGTTACGTTTCTCTACGCTAGCTTGACTAAATGCGTTGTTGGATTTTCTCCTAAACCAGTGTTTCTCTTTGTGGATGATTTCAGCTTGAGCCCACTTGAAATTATGTTGATGAGTCCAAACATGCTCTGTTATTCCGGATTTGCTAGTTTCTCCTCGCTGTGTGTGTTTCTTGTGCTCAGCAATGCGAACTTTCAATGGCCTCTTAGTTTCACCGATGTATGATTCTCCGCACTCGCAGGGTATCCGGTAAATGCAATTCTTGGAATCGCAGTCCGCGTTTGGTGGCCTGGTTTTTGTGAGGCTGCTACGGATAGTGTTCCCAGATCTGAAGCAGGTCCTGATGTTATACTTGGACCCAATCCTTCTTATCCTTTCCGACAATCCTCTGATATAGAGGAGTACAAGTACTGGTTGTGGCGGCTTCTCTTCCTTGTGGAGCTCTTGCTGTCTTCTAGCTAAAGCCTGTTCTACCATCACTCTGGAGTAACCATTCCATTGAAGGTCGTTTTTGATGATGCCTAGTTCCTTTTCGAGACCTTCTTTTGTATTATAGAGCCCGAGGGCACGGTCTAGTGTCTTGATGATTCCTCTCTTAGTTGATTGATGGTGGTTGGATTTCTGGTTCAGATACTGTCCTGTGTGGGTGGGTTTTCGATATACAGATGTTTCCCATTTAGTGTCGGTCCTCTTCACCAATACGTCTAAGAAAGGCAATTCATTGTGGACTTCCTTCTCCATTGTGAAAGTGATGGAAGTACTTACGTTGTTAATGTGCTTCAGGAAAATGTCTAGTCCTGCATTCCCATGGTTCCATATTATGAAGGTGTCGTCTACGTATCTCAACCTGACTCGGAGCTTCTTGTGGGCTTCTTCAATGGCCAGAGTTTCAAACCACTCCATATATATTAACTATAATCGGTGAAAGTGGCGATCCCATTGGTAGTCCCTCATCTTGCGTAAAAAATTCGTCCTTCAGTTGGAAGTATCGGTAAGTTTGTTCTATCTTTCAGGTCCCCATCTTCGGATAGCTTCTTCTGTATGATTTGTAGTGAAGTGAAGTGAAGCTATCCGAAGATGGGGACCTGAAAGATAGAACAAACTTACCGATACAAGCAATCATGGAATTACTAGGATGATGTGTACGAAACTGCTACTTCCAACTGAAGGACGAATTTTTTACGCAAGATGAGGGACTGCCAATGGGATCGCCACTTTCACCGATTACCGAAGTACTTCCATCACTTTCACAATGGAGAAGGAAGTCCATAACGAATTGCCTTTCTTAGGCGTATTGGTGAAGAGGACCGACACTAAATGGGAAACATCTGAATATCGAAAACCCACTCACACAGGACAGTATCTGAACCAGACATCCAACCACCATCAATCGACTAAGAGAGGAATCATCAAGACTCTACTAGACCGTGCTTTCGAGCTCTGTAATACAAAGAAATGTCTCGAAAAAGAAATAGGCATCATCAAAAACGGAATGGTTACTTTAGAGTGATAGTAGAACAGGCTTTAGAAGACAGCAAGAGCTCCACAAGGAAGAGAAGCCGCCACAACCAGTACTTGTACTCCCCTATATTAGAAGATTGTCGGAAAGGATAAGGAGGATTGGGTCCAAGTATAACATCAGGACCTGCTTCAGATCTGGAAACTAAGAGGCCATTGAAAGTTCGCATTGCTGAGCACAAGAAACACACACAGCGAGGAGAAACTAGCAAATCCGGAATAGCAGAGCATGTTTGGACTCATCAACATAATATCAAGTGGGCTCAAGCTGAAATCATCCACAAAGAGGAACACAGGTTTAGGAGAAAATTCAAGGGAGCCGCATATATGTTGTCCAACAACGCATTTAGTCAAGCTAGCGTAGAGGTACGTAACATATGGAAACCTCTTATCAAGCGAAAAACAACCAACTCCCGCCAGACGGTCATCTCCCGCTAAAACCAATGAAGCGGAAAGAGGAGATAGGTGAAAGGTGAAAGCACCCGAATGACCTATAAATAGTCTATAAAAGTCCAGTTATCACCCGAAGACGATTGTGGATACTTACAATCGAAACGTCGTGACGTAACTTGGTTTGGAATCTTTTAATTTTTATTTTTATTTTTCTTTTTTGTTAATAATATTTTTTAATTTTCAGCTTTTATTAATATTTCAATTTTTTATTTTCTGGTTGTAGCTTGTATGTTATTTCCTTGTAATTTCAGTTTTTTGTTTTAATAAAATTATTATTTTTGGTTAATCTTTTATTTTTTCCAGAGATTTCAAATCAATTTATATCATATAGACAATGGAAGTCCGAACTGATGTAATACACCACGAAACATTGTCAACCACCTTCAAACAGACAACGATAATGTTCAAAGTATGGTATGGAGGGAACCAAAAAATCATTTTGATGATTGCTATTTCTATCTTAGGAATATAAAGGACATTAATCGTAACAATCGGCATGCGTGGATCGGAACCTGGATTCAGCAGCCTACCTACGTTACCAGAGGATAATGTCGAAACGTTATCTGACGAACTACAGACTAATAGATTTGAGGAAGACGACAGTGATTTTGAAGGGATTTCAACACGTCCTGAGCGCTTTACTCAGGAAGAGATAAGCGATCTTTTTAGAGATTTGAACCTTCCATAGGATTCTTCCGAGTTGCTTGCCTCCAGACTGAAGGAAAAGAAACTTCTTCGACCAGACACCAAAATTACATATTACCGTAATAGAGAAAAAGATCTTTTGCCTTTTTTATCAGCAAGATGATATGGTTTTTTGTAACAATATTAAAGGACTGTTAGAAAAAAAAGGTGTATCGGAGTATACACCAGATCACTGGCGTCTTTTTATCGACAGTACCAAACGAAGTTTAAAGTGTGTCCTTCTACTTGATGGCAACATATATGGAAGTATACCCATTGGGCATTCTAAAAAACTGAAGGAAGAATATAAAACAATATCGCTGGTGCTAAAAAACATCAAGTATGACCAACATTAGTGGGCGATCTGTGTTGATTTTAAGATGGTGAACTTTCTCCTGAGACAACAAGGTGGCTATACAAAATATCCTTGTTTCCTGTGTTTTTGGGATAGTAGGGCTAAGGACCAACACTGGAGTTGAAGAAAATGGCGTTCTAGAGATGCTTAGTTCAAGTTGAAACTAACGTAGATAACGAAGCGTTGGTCGACTATGAGAAAGTAATATTACCTCCGTTACATATTAAACTAGGGCTGATAAAACAATTTGTGAAGGCCCTAGACCAGAATCGTCCTTGAATTGAATACTTGTCCAGCAAATTCCCTGCACTTAGTGAAGAAAAATTGAAAGCCGGAATATTTGATGGGCCTCAGATTCGACAACTTATAAAAGATTTGCATTTTACAGAATCGATGACTGAAATTGTATGTAATGAATGGT